TATCACTACCACTTAAGAGGGTCCCCTATACATTTTTTGTGATGCATGAATGGGCATTTTTTCTTTGCGTGAAGCATGAATGAGGATTTATTTTTTCCATGATTCGTGAATCTATATTTTTCCATCCTCGGGAAACTGGTTTTCAATTTTTTCGTGATCCGTGAAAAATGCAGTTACTTTCGCGTGATTTGTGAACCATCGACTTTTGTGGGAATAATTTTTCACATTTTTGGAGATTTTAGCATCATAAATGCTCGTATACTACACCAAACTGGATGTAAAAAGCGTGACGGCCTGCCTTTCTCGACATCTCTNGGGTTAGGGTTAACTCCTGATTTGCTTAGCTAGGCAAGTAGGATATAAATATTACAACTTAGGGTTAGGGTTAACTCCTGATTTGCTTAGCTAGGCAAGTAGGATATAAATATTACAACTTAGGGTTAGGGTTAACTCCTGATTTGCTTAGCTAGGCAAGTAGGATATAAATATTACAACTTAGGGTTAGGGTTAACTCCTGATTTGCTTAGCTAGGCAAGTAGGATATAAATATTACAACTTAGGGTTAGGGTTAACTCCTGATTTGCTTAGCTAGGCAAGTAGGATATAAATATTACAACTTAGGGTTAGGGTTAACTCCTGATTTGCTTAGCTAGGCAAGTAGGATATAAATATTACAACTTAGGGTTAGGGTTAACTCCTGATTTGCTTAGCTAGGCAAGTAGGATATAAATATTACAACTTAGGGTTAGGGTTAACTCCTGATTTGCTTAGCTAGGCAAGTAGGATATAAATATTACAACTTAGGGTTAGGGTTAACTCCTGATTTGCTTAGCTAGGCAAGTAGGATATAAATATTACAACTTAGGGTTAGGGTTAACTCCTGATTTGCTTAGCTAGGCAAGTAGGATATAAATATTACAACTTAGGGTTAGGGTTAACTCCTGATTTGCTTAGCTAGGCAAGTAGGATATAAATATTACAACTTAGGGTTAGGGTTAACTCCTGATTTGCTTAGCTAGGCAAGTAGGATATAAATATTACAACTTAGGGTTAGGGTTAACTCCTGATTTGCTTAGCTAGGCAAGTAGGATATAAATATTACAACTTAGGGTTAGGGTTAACTCCTGATTTGCTTAGCTAGGCAAGTAGGATATAAATATTACAACTTAGGGTTAGGGTTAACTCCTGATTTGCTTAGCTAGGCAAGTAGGATATAAATATTACAACTTAGGGTTAGGGTTAACTCCTGATTTGCTTAGCTAGGCAAGTAGGATATAAATATTACAACTTAGGGTTAGGGTTAACTCCTGATTTGCTTAGCTAGGCAAGTAGGATATAAATATTACAACTTAGGGTTAGGGTTAACTCCTGATTTGCTTAGCTAGGCAAGTAGGATATAAATATTACAACTTAGGGTTAGGGTTAACTCCTGATTTGCTTAGCTAGGCAAGTAGGATATAAATATTACAACTTAGGGTTAGGGTTAACTCCTGATTTGCTTAGCTAGGCAAGTAGGATATAAATATTACAACTTAGGGTTAGGGTTAACTCCTGATTTGCTTAGCTAGGCAAGTAGGATATAAATATTACAACTTAGGGTTAGGGTTAACTCCTGATTTGCTTAGCTAGGCAAGTAGGATATAAATATTACAACTTAGGGTTAGGGTTAACTCCTGATTTGCTTAGCTAGGCAAGTAGGATATAAATATTACAACTTAGGGTTAGGGTTAACTCCTGATTTGCTTAGCTAGGCAAGTAGGATATAAATATTACAACTTAGGGTTAGGGTTAACTCCTGATTTGCTTAGCTAGGCAAGTAGGATATAAATATTACAACTTAGGGTTAGGGTTAACTCCTGATTTGCTTAGCTAGGCAAGTAGGATATAAATATTACAACTTAGGGTTAGGGTTAACTCCTGATTTGCTTAGCTAGGCAAGTAGGATATAAATATTACAACTTAGGGTTAGGGTTAACTCCTGATTTGCTTAGCTAGGCAAGTAGGATATAAATATTACAACTTAGGGTTAGGGTTAACTCCTGATTTGCTTAGCTAGGCAAGTAGGATATAAATATTACAACTTAGGGTTAGGGTTAACTCCTGATTTGCTTAGCTAGGCAAGTAGGATATAAATATTACAACTTAGGGTTAGGGTTAACTCCTGATTTGCTTAGCTAGGCAAGTAGGATATAAATATTACAACTTAGGGTTAGGGTTAACTCCTGATTTGCTTAGCTAGGCAAGTAGGATATAAATATTACAACTTAGGGTTAGGGTTAACTCCTGATTTGCTTAGCTAGGCAAGTAGGATATAAATATTACAACTTAGGGTTAGGGTTAACTCCTGATTTGCTTAGCTAGGCAAGTAGGATATAAATATTACAACTTAGGGTTAGGGTTAACTCCTGATTTGCTTAGCTAGGCAAGTAGGATATAAATATTACAACTTAGGGTTAGGGTTAACTCCTGATTTGCTTAGCTAGGCAAGTAGGATATAAATATTACAACTTAGGGTTAGGGTTAACTCCTGATTTGCTTAGCTAGGCAAGTAGGATATAAATATTACAACTTAGGGTTAGGGTTAACTCCTGATTTGCTTAGCTAGGCAAGTAGGATATAAATATTACAACTTAGGGTTAGGGTTAACTCCTGATTTGCTTAGCTAGGCAAGTAGGATATAAATATTACAACTTAGGGTTAGGGTTAACTCCTGATTTGCTTAGCTAGGCAAGTAGGATATAAATATTACAACTTAGGGTTAGGGTTAACTCCTGATTTGCTTAGCTAGGCAAGTAGGATATAAATATTACAACTTAGGGTTAGGGTTAACTCCTGATTTGCTTAGCTAGGCAAGTAGGATATAAATATTACAACTTAGGGTTAGGGTTAACTCCTGATTTGCTTAGCTAGGCAAGTAGGATATAAATATTACAACTTAGGGTTAGGGTTAACTCCTGATTTGCTTAGCTAGGCAAGTAGGATATAAATATTACAACTTAGGGTTAGGGTTAACTCCTGATTTGCTTAGCTAGGCAAGTAGGATATAAATATTACAACTTAGGGTTAGGGTTAACTCCTGATTTGCTTAGCTAGGCAAGTAGGATATAAATATTACAACTTAGGGTTAGGGTTAACTCCTGATTTGCTTAGCTAGGCAAGTAGGATATAAATATTACAACTTAGGGTTAGGGTTAACTCCTGATTTGCTTAGCTAGGCAAGTAGGATATAAATATTACAACTTAGGGTTAGGGTTAACTCCTGATTTGCTTAGCTAGGCAAGTAGGATATAAATATTACAACTTAGGGTTAGGGTTAACTCCTGATTTGCTTAGCTAGGCAAGTAGGATATAAATATTACAACTTAGGGTTAGGGTTAACTCCTGATTTGCTTAGCTAGGCAAGTAGGATATAAATATTACAACTTAGGGTTAGGGTTAACTCCTGATTTGCTTAGCTAGGCAAGTAGGATATAAATATTACAACTTAGGGTTAGGGTTAACTCCTGATTTGCTTAGCTAGGCAAGTAGGATATAAATATTACAACTTAGGGTTAGGGTTAACTCCTGATTTGCTTAGCTAGGCAAGTAGGATATAAATATTACAACTTAGGGTTAGGGTTAACTCCTGATTTGCTTAGCTAGGCAAGTAGGATATAAATATTACAACTTAGGGTTAGGGTTAACTCCTGATTTGCTTAGCTAGGCAAGTAGGATATAAATATTACAACTTAGGGTTAGGGTTAACTCCTGATTTGCTTAGCTAGGCAAGTAGGATATAAATATTACAACTTAGGGTTAGGGTTAACTCCTGATTTGCTTAGCTAGGCAAGTAGGATATAAATATTACAACTTAGGGTTAGGGTTAACTCCTGATTTGCTTAGCTAGGCAAGTAGGATATAAATATTACAACTTAGGGTTAGGGTTAACTCCTGATTTGCTTAGCTAGGCAAGTAGGATATAAATATTACAACTTAGGGTTAGGGTTAACTCCTGATTTGCTTAGCTAGGCAAGTAGGATATAAATATTACAACTTAGGGTTAGGGTTAACTCCTGATTTGCTTAGCTAGGCAAGTAGGATATAAATATTACAACTTAGGGTTAGGGTTAACTCCTGATTTGCTTAGCTAGGCAAGTAGGATATAAATATTACAACTTAGGGTTAGGGTTAACTCCTGATTTGCTTAGCTAGGCAAGTAGGATATAAATATTACAACTTAGGGTTAGGGTTAACTCCTGATTTGCTTAGCTAGGCAAGTAGGATATAAATATTACAACTTAGGGTTAGGGTTAACTCCTGATTTGCTTAGCTAGGCAAGTAGGATATAAATATTACAACTTAGGGTTAGGGTTAACTCCTGATTTGCTTAGCTAGGCAAGTAGGATATAAATATTACAACTTAGGGTTAGGGTTAACTCCTGATTTGCTTAGCTAGGCAAGTAGGATATAAATATTACAACTTAGGGTTAGGGTTAACTCCTGATTTGCTTAGCTAGGCAAGTAGGATATAAATATTACAACTTAGGGTTAGGGTTAACTCCTGATTTGCTTAGCTAGGCAAGTAGGATATAAATATTACAACTTAGGGTTAGGGTTAACTCCTGATTTGCTTAGCTAGGCAAGTAGGATATAAATATTACAACTTAGGGTTAGGGTTAACTCCTGATTTGCTTAGCTAGGCAAGTAGGATATAAATATTACAACTTAGGGTTAGGGTTAACTCCTGATTTGCTTAGCTAGGCAAGTAGGATATAAATATTACAACTTAGGGTTAGGGTTAACTCCTGATTTGCTTAGCTAGGCAAGTAGGATATAAATATTACAACTTAGGGTTAGGGTTAACTCCTGATTTGCTTAGCTAGGCAAGTAGGATATAAATATTACAACTTAGGGTTAGGGTTAACTCCTGATTTGCTTAGCTAGGCAAGTAGGATATAAATATTACAACTTAGGGTTAGGGTTAACTCCTGATTTGCTTAGCTAGGCAAGTAGGATATAAATATTACAACTTAGGGTTAGGGTTAACTCCTGATTTGCTTAGCTAGGCAAGCAGGATATAAATATTACAACCACCACTGTCGTGCTATCATTATCACTACCACTTAAGAGGGTCCCCTATACATTTTTTGTGATGCATGAATGGGCATTTTTTCTTTGCGTGAAGCATGAATGAGGATTTATTTTTTCCATGATTCGTGAATCTATATTTTTCCATCCTCGGGAAACTGGTTTTCAATTTTTTCGTGATCCGTGAAAAATGCAGTTACTTTCGCGTGATTTGTGAACCATCGACTTTTGTGGGAATAATTTTTCACATTTTTGGAGATTTTAGCATCATAAATGCTCGTATACTACACCAAACTGGATGTAAAAAGCGTGACGGCCTGCCTTTCTCGACATCTCTTGACATGCGTGAGGATGGAGGACTGAGAACTAACCACAGCAACAGTGAACCAGGAGGGCATAGAATCTAGTCTGTCACGCTGTGTCACACATGCAGGGTATCACGCCATTTCGATCGAGAAAAGGCAGAAAAGGTGAGTTAATCTGTCAGTATCCACACTCTATCCAGCCTTAACTGATGTCTGCTCAGCCATCGCTTCGATGTCATAACCGAAATATGTCAACAAAGTGTTAATATGTCTTTTGGATTCTTTCTTTTGTCTTCACGAAGGTAGCATTTGCATAGTGACTTTTTATCTGAGAGCCCGCTTAAATACGGCTCAATACGGACACCCTGATAATACAGACACTTTGGCATGTCCCCTTGGTGTCCGTATTAACGGGGTTCCACAGCACATGCATAATACCCAATCCACAAAAGATCTAGACATGCTGAAGATGAGAGAGTCTGAAATTATCAAAATATGGCCATGTGCAGCTATATCTACTGTGGTACATTTCAGTATTGCCAGATACATTTTTGTAGTGATTGTATTTGTATGTTTTGCGAAATGTGAATAGAATTTACATTTTTACATGAAACATGATTTAGCCTTTGCTTTTTCGCGTGAAACGTGATTGCTTACTTTTTTTGTGAACGTGAAGCTGTTTTTAGAATTTTTCGTGATGCGTGAAAAGGCCAATTAATTTTGCATGAAACTGTTTTCAGAAGAGGTATAGGGGACCCTCTCTTAATCACTGTCATTTAAACTCCTAGTATTTATAGATTTCCTGTTTTTTATGTGACTGAATGACACATGTTAAGGTAATTCTATCGAAATAGAACTCACAATAGATTTTCTTTCAAACTTTACCTGTTGGCTGCTTATATCTTGAGAGAACTTAAAATTTGAAATAAAAAAGGGGGGTGCCGGTATTGGTTTAGGAGCAGGAGGACCTTCAATAAACCCCATAATTCCAGACATTATCTGCTCTGAGAAACATTTATTTTTGAACCATTCACCTTACGCTTTAAGAGAGCAGAAAAATAGGGACAAAGTTAAGCAAGAAATACAACAATGGATGTATTACATCAATGTTAAGGCACAATTTGATGTATGTTTCATTATAAAGGCACTCATCTTTAGTCAACAGGGATACAATATGTTCCAAGCGCGCAGTGTTCTGGGGCCACATATTATCTTATACGAGTGCTAGCTATGCTCGCATTTTCTGTGATAATTTTTTACCCTGCGATAGAAATCGGTCCATATTCACTGTATAGAAAGAAGGTGATCTCTGCATTCAAACTAAATTTAAAAAAATCGTTAAAAATCGTTACTCGTTTCTGAGGAAAAAATGATGATGTGTCTCTCGCAAGCCAAGCCATCTAGAAAAAGCCACCATTTTGTTTATGTTTTGTACGTGCATGCGCTCATGAGTGTGCGCTAATGACGTGAAAATCGTGCGCAGTAGAGATGCGCAATGCAATTCTGATGAATGACCTTAATTTGTCTCCCAAAGCAATTGCGTTTATAAAGTGCATTGAACACCATCTGCACTCTTGTGCATGCCTATTTTCCTAAGTAATAATATGTTTTTGTAGGTTCTTACACAGATACCATTGGATTAAGAATTATTCGTGAACATGTAGCCAAATATATTTCAAGAAGAGATGGTTATCCTGCTGATCCAGATGATGTCATACTGTTAAATGGTGGAGCAAGAGGAATACAGGTTGAACTTTGTTGTGACTGATCTTTGAAATTAATTCTCAATCACAGAAGGTGGTTATAAAATGAATTAATGAGCACTTTTCCAGTAAATGTTCATATACCCTATTCTAGACCAAAACTGTCTGATTTCTATATTGTAATCCCATTCTAAACTGCTTAAAAACCATTACCCTCCACAGCGGCACACATTATCCTCAATAAAAATTTATATAATTATGTATACCTTTTATACTTCTCACTTCTTAATTAGGTTGGATTAGCATCACTCAAAACCAGTTCACATGATGGTAAGGGCAGGGCAGGACTTATGGTTCCAATACCTGTATTTCCTCAATACACTGCAAGGATCGTAGAATACAACTTCCATCAGGTAAAACTTATATTTTTAATGGTCCATTAAAGGTTATTAGTGCTGACTGCCGAGGCATCATTAATTTATGTACTGTCATGCCAGACATCTGTTCATTGTGCAAATTTGGTGATAATTTCATTGACAATATCTTCTTCTTAATTTGTGTAATGGTTAATTAAACAAATAGATTCCATGTTATTGTGCATCTATTCAGTAATATCTATCACAGATATTTACATCAAAATGTGATAAGAACGAAAAAGTGGCTGATAATGAGCTGTATTTAAGGCAAGTGTGTCACGGATGTTCTTACCACATTTTGACGCCATCTATGTGTCTATCCTAGTAACAGGAATCATACCCTTTTCCAGGACTTTTTCAGGACTCAGATTGATTTTTCCAGGGCTCTAAAATTCACATTAACCCTTTCACTCCCAAGATCTCAGTGTTAATTCTCCTTACTGTCTGTCATACATTTCATAGTTTTTACTAGAGTTTAACAGATTTCCAGAACTTTCCGGGACCAGTAACCGTTTTCCAGGACTTTCCAGTCATTTGCCGTGAGGTTTTCTGTATATTGTTTGGCCTTCTGTTTTGAGTTTTAATAATCAATACACAAAACAAAGCAGCAAAAAAATTTGTGAAGAAGAAAAAGTTATAATTCAGTTAACTTTTAATCCTGGGTTAGCATTAACCAGCTTCGCAAAATTCCTGCCCTGTTTTCAACAAGTTAACCTGACGTGAGCCTGCGATCCAATCGAAAACCAGCACTTGGTCAGCGGCCTCGATGAGCTGTAAACTTGAGCCCGCGATATAGTCACGTGATACTGGTCAGCGGACACCTTGTTTTGACAGGTGTCAATTGATCATAACACGGATGTCCAATATCAAAGAAGTACACAGTAAACCAAGGCTGCATGTCTGTCAACCTATTATTTGGAGTATGGCCGCCATGTTGCGCGACTCCGTCGTCGTCGTTGTCGCCGTCGCCGTCGCCGTCGTGCGTACGCGCCAACGAGCAGTACCGCTAGTCATGATAACCGTGAGAAAATTCATTTCCTTTTCTTTCCTATGTGGGTATGGGGCTCCGCTTGGCGGCCCTTCGGGCCCTGCTATAAATTCAACCAATTAGAGCTCTAAGAAAAAAGTGCAAAACATGCAAGAAAAGTTAGGTGGACAAAATCCCAAATGCATGACATTGTTTGGTTCAGAAAAACCTGGGCAACAGATAAACAAATAGATCTGTTAAGCTTAATGGGATTCTAAACCTAGTTTGTTGTTAACTGATGTTTCCATTTGTTTGTTTGTTTGTTTGTTTTCGGAGCAGATTAATTACTATTTGGATGAAGAAAACAACTGGAGTTTAAACATCAATGAACTGAAGAGAGCTTTAGAGGAAGCAAAGCCACTCTGTAAACCAAGGGGACTGGTACTCATTAATCCAGGAAATCCCACAGGTATGATATAGAGCCATGATTAGAGACATGGCTGCAGGCATCATGTGCATGATAGAGTACAAGGCTTGCCTTGAAGTAATTTTGAAAACGTTTCTTTGTTGATGAAAATTGAGGGTGATAACTGTTTTGATCTAATGAAGCAAGAGAGAAGAAAACGACGCATATTGAACTGTTGAGACTACTCTTATGTTTGTTATTCTTGCCAAAGTGATAACGAGATTTGTCCCTTTGTTAATGTTATACAATGCACAGGACAAATCTTGACGTACGACAACATCAGGGACCTTATCAAGTTTTGCGCTAGCGAGAAACTGGTTTTATTTGCTGATGAAGTGTACCAGGAAACAGTATTTACCAATGAGGCCAAGTTCCACTCGTGCAAAAAGGTTCTAAGAGACCTTGGACCCGACTACAATAATTTTCAACTGATGTCAATAAATTCAGCTTCCAAGGGGTTTTATGGCGAGTAAGTTTCATATCTCTTTGTGAATCAGTAGAAGTGTGTTATCACCACAATGGCTGCCGTCACAGTAAGCTTGAAGCATTGAACATTACAAATAGGAAATTCAAATAACAAATTTTAAAAGCTATGAAGTAATCTTTTGAGTAGTCATGTGAAATTAGCTTTTTGAAACTTGTCGTGACTAACTACTTATTGACCGAGAGGAAAACCGAGACCTTGCCGTATCAGACCGAACGATGGCGAGGTCAATACGGGAAGGCCGAGGTTTGAGATTTTCCCGTAAAGACCGAACGTTCGAGGTTAATAAGTTGTTTATTATATGGCTTTTTGCTTTGGTTTTGCGGGCCCGCAATCGGCCTGTGGGCATTACGGGAGAATAATGCCCTACAATTGGGCAATAAGAACACGCGTTATATCTTCTACAAACACAAGCCATATAATAAAGTGTTTTAACATCAGCCGAGTGGCATACTTGTGTATCCTCTCTACATTTGGGTCAAAGTGATAGAGTTGACCAATCTAGGCTTAGCTCAACTTCACCCCCTTCCCCTCCCTTAAAGATACCAGACGCGTAAACAAAACCTGCGGTGAGGTGACCAATGATAGTAAAGTTTTCACGTCTGATCGACCTAAGCATCAAAAGACTCAGAGTATGAAAGCTTGTTTTTACTTCTTTGCGTGCAACCCTAAAAGATAAGATACCTTGATAAGTAAAAAAAAGACATTACAAGTGAATGTAAGAAAAATTATACATTTGAACTGCGGAGGAAGATATGAAGACATGATTGATCATCACAGTTATACACACAACGTAGCAGTTGTGAAATTAAAACCTGACAAAAGTTCTTGCTTGAACGGGATTCGAACCCACGACCTCTGCAGTGTGCAGTGCTCTACCAACTGAGCTATCAAGCCATCTGGGAGCTGGTCACATTGTGAGTTCGCAATATACACGTAGATGGTGAAGAATACAAGTGAATAAATGAAAGAACAAAAAAAGTCTTTGGCGTCCCGTCCTGAAAACCGTGAAACCTCTGGATTTCATTCCATCCCAAAATGAGACGACGAGCATTCTTGTTTTACATGGGTGTATCGCCCGACTCTCTGGGGAGTGATCTCAGTTTCCGCAGTATGAAGCAACTAGAAGTATAACTCTATTGCTACTGCCCTGGACGGGACGATTTTCCTCTGATGCTACGTCTTTTGATGCAACCGTGAAAGTAGTTATTTGCTCAACAGAATCTTAGCGGACGCTTATTGCATGTAACTCTTTACAATAAAAAATGGAACAACCCACTGTTCATGGTGTGTGAGACTAGGTACTTTCTCCAAGGTGCTAACAGACGATTTTGTCAATAAGTCCTAAAGTAATGATAATGATAATGATAATGAAAATGATAATGATAACGATAACGATAACGATAACAATAGCGATAGCGATAGTGATAGCGATAGTGATAGTGAAAATGATAATGGTTAACAGATCCACGAGGTGGCTCTTCTCTGTTAAATTACATTATTTACAATTGAAACAAATTCCGTTATTTACAATCAAAATTATAAAAGTGTAAAAATATGGGATAATCCTAGGAAATAATACTAACAGATTTGAAATTACAGTTAGTTTTTTGAAAACTCAGTTATTTTTTTCATTGTAGATGTGGTTTAAGGGGAGCGTATATGGAGTTGGTCGGGTTCAGCAAAGAAGTTAAACACCAGTTTAGGAATTTTATGTCACCAAGTGTGAGCCCTACCACGATTGGACAGGTAAGTTTTGCAAACATAATTTAATGTTTTCCTGGCAGGAAAAAGTAAAGAGCGACGCGAGGAAAAATATAGAAAAGGTGTTATTTATCGGCATGGCTTGGCATTTTTTATTGGTTCTCTCTAAGTCGTTGTCCATGAGCTCTTTTCCTCTAAAATACCAGGACATAAGGACAGAGCAATTGTGGTCAAAGTGCCACTGTAAAACATGCGTATGCCTTAGCAAGTGTTTGTAGTAAAATGGTCTAGACTGTTTTATTTTTGTTCTTAAAGGCCGCCGTGAGTGCGATTTGTACTCCGCCTCAACCTGGTGACGAGTCGTACGAGACATTTATTAAGGTACGTCCCAAAAGTGTTTTTAAATTTTGTTGTGTCCCCAATTAGTAATTAATACTAATTACATTGACAATTCAGTAAAGCTGTTATTATAAAGCTGTTATTACCTAAGATTAATTTCATCAAAATGGCCAATATTCGAGTAGCTGCTTTATTTACTGATTATGCGTTTTACTTAGACCGAAAAAATTCTCTTTCAGACGCAGGCAGTGGCTGGTCGTTCTCCCGTTCGAGTTTTAGGCGATTTCAATTTCTCCACAGAGCATTAATAGCTAATGCCTGCCATGTACGCTTTTCTTAGTTGTTATCGCATGATAATAGGCCACGTTCGATTTGTCAATATTCTAACATGGCTCCGAGGCTTTCAGGACAAACTTCTATATTTGGTGTTGTTTCCTTTGTATTTAAGTCTCTTTTGGGAATAGGCCCTTTGCACGATCGGTCACATGGTACAAAATCACACATGCTGGTGAGCATGTTCCGCAGTGGGACTTCCAAAACAAAGGCAGGTCCAGGTGGACTGGTACGAGTGGCATTGTTTTGCAAGTCTCACTGTGCAACTTGCTCACCAGCATGTGTGATTTTGTAACATGTGACCGGATCATGCAAAGGGCCTATTGAGGGCCGAACAGGAGAAACTTAGAAAATTTACAATTTTGATCCGAAAGCCTCGGAGCTATGTTAGAATGTTGATGTATCGAACGTGGCCTATGTAAACCCAATAGATATTTACCGTGTGACTATATTAGACCAATGAGGTGACAGGAATATTCTTGATGGGCCCAGCTACGTGTATGTTTATGAAATCGTATATTGGTTACTATGGATATTAAATTGAGCATTCGTACCTTTCTGTCATAGGAGAAGATGGCCATTTTAGACTCGTATCAAAGGAAAGCCAAGATCACCACCTCAATGTTGAATTCTCTTGAAGGAATAACGTGTAGTGAAGTAACTGGAGCCTTGTATGCATTTCCCAGAGTTCATCTTCCACGGAAAGCTATAGAAGAGGCTAAGGTAAGAACATCCGTCGCGCATGTCAGAGACGATGCTAAATAAACTCGTGCAAGCGGAAACATTCGTTTAGAGTTGCTGTGGTTTTCCATTATTGCGTTACGCGATTGGCTTAAAAAAAGTCGCGCCACTTTATGATCCAATCAGAAGTAAAACCACACGTTTCCCCGCGCTCGTACAAGTCTTGATTGGTCTACTGGATTGCCTGTGTTCCTTGTGACTGGCAAATCACTCTAATAAAAAGGAAACTTGACAAGAGTATTTTAGTAAAGTATACTGAGAGCGGTTTTCAATTGAGTATCCTAAACCAAAACCAAAGTAATCACTCTGGCCAATCACAAAGGACACAGACATTCGCAAGCACAAGCGCAAGCACAAGCGCAAGCACAAGCGCAAGCACAAGCGCAAGCACAAGCAACAGGAAATGACCCAAGTGAAATTAGCAAATCGAATGTGGTTTAGCGTGGTCCGTACTCTTATCGACAACGATACCCGTTATCACAGTGGTCAAAATGTTGTTGACTCACTCGGTTGCGCCTCCTGAGTCCACAACCAATTTTGACCACTGTGATGACGCATATCGTTGTCGATAAGAGTACAGACCACGCTAAACCACATTTCGATTTGTTTCTAACTACAATATCAACGTCAAAGAAAATGTCTTTTTCAGAGCGCGAGTTCGCGAGCTGAAAAAGGCATTGCGTGACAGATTGACGTCTGGACTCTTATCGACAACGGCAGATTAGTCAATCAGATTGCGAGATTAGTAGCAATTGTGGTAAAAACGAAATTCGACGCAAACACAAGCACAGGCAAAATCATTCGAACCTTCCAAACTGTTTAGGCGCGAGGTAATCTGGATCCAGTGTTTTCACTGGCCAAACTTAACAACATGCCTGAGCGGTATTTCGTTTTCACTTGTCGCGGCGCAAACGCAAGCATGAGCGCAAGCACAGGAAAAAGGAAAAATTTTGATCCTTGTGTTCGTGCTTGCACCTGTGGTTATGCCTGCGTCAAGGCCGTTTTTACGGTGAAATAAGAATTATTGTGTTTGCGCTTGTGCTTGCGTCGCCAGTGAAAACCAAGCTTTAAAGGAGATTCTGGCTTTCAACATCTTTAAAATTTATGCGTGGTAATGAGCACGTGCGTTCTTGGTAAAATTGTGCGTTTTTACACCCTTGTCACACATTAAAGCATTTGCATGTAGTACGTCGGACTGGATGCAGTTTAAATGACAATCATGAAGCCTACCATCCCAGGATAAAGCGTGAGGAAATTGGGAAAGGAAAAATAAAACACGCGATGGACGATGCTTGTTGTAATCTTAAGTGGTTAGTTAAACCCTTTCGTTGTTTTCCTTTAGCTCAACAATTGCAAACCAGACGAGTTCTACTGTTGGCAGATGTTAGAGGCTACTGGAATAACTCCCGTTCCTGGGACTAATTTCGGACAGAAACCAGGAACACACCATTTTAGGTCAGTTGCATACGTGTAGGTAATCCACGGTCTACATATCCTCACTAGCTCTGAATTCTCTTTGGAAAGAGTGACGAATGAGGGACCAGAGGCGTATTAGACTAATTTACTGTGTTAGACATGATGCAAAAAAACTAAAACTAGACAACGAGCAACTTCGTGATTAGCTATATAGAACCCCTTTTGTAAAGCCTCAGTGTCTTAAAGTGCATGCATGGATGTTCAGACGGAAACGGGCAAGGTTGGGACGCTTGAAAGGGCAACGTAAAGGTCATTTTCATGAACCTGTGATGTTGTCTTGTTTTCTTCATTACAGGCTTACTATTTTACCGTCTGAAGACAAAGTAGTGCCCATGTTCGAGACAATTAGCAAGTTTCACAAGGAATTCATGGACAAATACAAAGACGATGATGATGACAAACAATGATACATTCACCAGAAAAAGCACTGTGTGTCTAAACATGAAATACCACCTTGGTCACAAGGGTTGGAAAAAATTCATTCTTAAAGCATTTTGCCACTCCCTACCCCTGTGCAATGTTGACAAGACACTTTCATCGAACACAAGTTTGCATTTTACCATTTTCCAACTTTGAAAGGGGGAATGGGAGTGTTGACTCTTATTCTGTAGGTATTACTGTTATGATTTCATGTCTTTGCGCACTTTCCAACACAATTTGTCCATGGTTGCAGTTTCCTTATTTAAGAGATAACTACTAGCTAAATCAACCTCGTTCCTCGGGCTTTTCCTTTGAATTTTGGGATAGGGGATTGGGAAAGGGTCTTTCCCAGTAGGTGTGGCACAAGTAAAATGAAAAAAAGAGTAACTTTATCTGAGTGTGAACGTATCAACACTGATCTGCTAATTGAGGCATTCATTACTTGAAAGACCTCAGTACAATTCCCTTTGCCAAAGAAGAAAAACATTATTTACTGCCCGAACAATACTCTATACATCATCATGAAGTAGTATTTACCGAGTCTGGTTTTATTTCCTTGCTGCCCTCGTTTTATTGAAAATAACTCAGTTTACAAAGTACAGAGTTGAATATATAGTGTACGTAAAATGCTAATTGACTATAACTGACTCTAGTCATTTGACTATAGTCAATTAGCATTTTGCGTACACTATATATTCAGCTCTGTACTTTGAAATTTAAACTGAAGATGGCAGAAGATTCTGTTGAAACGTGTTTTTAAAAAACGGTGTGTTGTTTCTAAAACTTTTAACATGTCTGCTACTATCCAGACCTTTTAAAAATACCTCTAATTTTTAAAACCTGGATCATTGGATAGTGCAATTCCAGAGTTTTTATTGGCTTAGCCATCTTGGTATATGAGCAATTATAGATATTAGAGTGGATAGAGTGAGATTTAGTTTCACTGTTTCCCTCACTGTACATATATAGTGTAACCGAGAGACCATGATCTTAGTTTCTTACTGTCTCCAAATTCAGTTCTTATTTATAAAAATTGTGATCATACCTTAAAATCTCGTCATGAATCTTTCTTCCGCTGTACTTTTTTCCATGAAGTTTTCTCATTTCCGTGAAGTTTTCTCATTTCCGTGGGCATTGAGTGATTTAATTCAAACTTTTTGACGAGCATCCCCGACCTTTTCACACGGGAGGGCGAAGTCTTGCATTATGTAAATTCATCTGCTTTGGAATTAAATTCAATTTTGCACTTGGTGTACAAAACATTAGAACTGTAGTTATTTGAGCCATTTGGCCATTTGAGCCATATTTTGCAGGTTCAAGTGTCTAGATGCATCGTTTGTTAGACCTCTATGTGGTAAAGAGACAAAAAGATGGTCTTGATTTACTGACTAGATCTGCCCGTTGCAGCGCGAGAAAGCACCGGCTAGGCAATTGCGACGTTTCGACAAACCGGGCCAGCTCTGCTCTAGTCATCTGGCCCTGAGGGTAAATCAAGAGCATCTTTTTGTCTCCTTCGAATTAGATCTGTTCAGTGTACCTTTGTTTTTTTGCCGCGTTTGTTTGGTTAATCAGTCCCTTTTTCTTCTATTTTCCTCCATCATTTCAAACTGATTAAAATTACCTTCTACCGCGTCTGCGCGGTGTTAAAATCCGACCACAAATTCGTACTTTAAGCCATACTTTAAGCCGATGTCGCAGCCCAGGCTCAATCGCGTTATGTGACAAATTAGAGAGCTTAAGCAATAACGAAAGCGACCACGAGGACAACGCCTAACAAAAAATGAATGTACATTTTACCTCCGAATTAGATCTGTTCAGTGTGCCTTTTGGTCTCAGAACTTCAGCGTTCAATTCCAACTAAAAATACGAAAAATTAGCCGCCGTCGTTCGCGTTCTCCAAACATTAGACAACGTCGGTCAAAAACAAAAACGAGTTTCCATTTTGCTTACGAATCTCGCGATACTCCAAAGCCATTTACTTTGTTTATCACTGTCAAAACTATCACGAAACTGAATCTAGAACACATCGATAAATTCGAAATAAAGATTTAAAAATTAGCCGTCGTGGTTCACGCTCTCCATACCACGCAGAATTTGGTCATTTCACGTTGTTGTTCTGCAGAGTTCGGCAAACAAACGTACCAAGAATTACAACGCTCGTGCATAGCCATTGTTCTCCTCATTAAGGTGGCTTACTACAGTTTTGATACATTATAACAGCCCAACTTCTAACTCTTTTGAAAAATGTTCCAAGATGTTTTTCCTTTCTATTTACTGTTTGCTTAAGTCTTACCATTCTAACTTGAACAATTAAACGTCAACAAATGGTCAAAATGAACGACCGAGTACCTAAGAGAGACTAGGCACTAGTAGGTTAAATCACATTTTTCTCAAAATCTGCCCGTAAACCCCACCTAAAAATTTCAGGAATACGAAACTGGTTCTGATTTAACATTCATGCAAAGTAAAATAAAAATCTGTAAGACAGATTTTGAGCTATTTTTGATTTCACATTTTCTTAGTTTGAATCTCGCGATTCTGACAATTTCCTTCTAGCCTGAGTGTGCCAAACAACGTTCAAGTGAAAAAACATAGAAAACAATAACCTGCCATTTTGGATTTGTGGCATGAGGGAAACTCGGGTGGTGGAATATTATGATTATCGTAACACTATCGTTATCGTTTTTCAAATGTTTTCCTTCCCGGTTTGAAGAGCGTTCAGGAAAGCTCCGTTTCATGACGGATTAGTGTGCACGGAAGGGCTAACCTGACAAATAAACTTCCGTTTTCAAGTATTCCTCCGGCGTAGTGTGAACAGGGCCTCAATGTGGCCAATTCGCGTCGTTGTTTTGCAGAATTGCAGAACACGGCTAAGAAAAGTATTCCACTGCTAATTACTACTTTTGTTTAGTAACCTACGCATTGTCTTTGCCTTCTTCGCTGTCGAGGTTTTCTTATAAACAGCAAACACCAAAATGCACGTGCTATGATTAGGTATTTTGATTTTTTTGAATTAATATTAAACATATTGCCCAAGATTTGGCCCGCGAAGCCGACGAGTTATAGAAACCATTTTCGACGCACTAAATGGGAGATAAAATACAAAACGAGACTAGCTATAGCCAACCTTTCATTTGAAACTTTTCCTCTCCGATTGACGAGGGTTTTTTATCTTAGACCAACGGGTCATTCGCCCACAAAAGCAGCAACTTCTTCCCTGTACCAAAACATCGCTAAATTCCCGCCAAAACTGCACGAGGTAAAACGTCACAAATTGCTTAGTAAATTGATTGGTTGCTTTCAATACTGTCCCAGAGTTCTTGACGGTCATTCAAACCTAGTCAGGGAGTGTAAGAGCGATTGACTTTTTTACGCAAAGGAGTCTAGATGCTCCAAACAGTAAAGTCTTCCCCCTATGACGAAATTCACATCTTTCCTACCTAAACCATTTTAAAACATAACCAAGTAGAGAAGAAAAATGCTATTTACTATTTTCAGATATCTCTTTTTGTTCAAGAGATATTCAAGCTTTTAAAATATGCAATTTAGCCAAGCGATGATGTCATAAACTCACCTCAATTGATCAAATATGATGAAAAAAGATATCTCAGCCAGTTGTATCAGAAGTGCTTGATTCTTTGCAGTAAAATTTTACTAGATTTGCTCCACAACACGAACCTAACAGTTTTGTTACCATGGCAACATACTGGGCTTCAGACCTCCCAGATATTAAAGGCTATTCTGGTCACCTTTGGCGTTCCATTTTGATATTTGCCAATATTGCGCACCTCATCTGAATGATCCAACAAGCATACAAGATCGGTCGCTTTACTGCTTTTGCCACGTTTACTTCTTCATTCGTTCACTTATCAATTTATTGTACCTGTCGAAAAAGAAAGATGACTGTAATAATTGAACAAAATTATAATCCAGAAGTAGTTACCATGCTTCTCTCTCAATTCCCAACCTTTGTTGTACAAATGGATCCCTGATATATGTACAGGGGCCGGTTTAGGGAGTGGGGTGGATTAGGTGGCTACCCCTTTTAATCTCCCTCGCAGCCGTTTTTAGTGTCGTCACGCAAAGCCCCTTTGTGGGGAGGAGCGTTGCGTGACGACACTAAAAACGGTTGCGAGGGAGACTAACCTCCGTTAGGAGAAGCGAAAAATGAAATAAATGAAAAAGATGGTGAATATTATAGTAGAAATAAAGGCAAACACTCTGGACAGGTACTTCACTGTAATTGTAAGCATTTTTTGTAACTAAAATAGAGATAAAAATACACAGGAGCCTCCTGAAATACGTACTTCTCTAACAGCTACACCAGGGTAACAGCCTCTCATCACAATCGAACCTCTCCAAAACAGCCACCTTGGGGACAGACGAAAGTGGCCGTTGTCGGAGAGGTGGCCTTCATGGGGAGGTAGGGGTGTAATAAGACATTTGTTTCTTTCCGGGGGTTCAACATTTTTATTTTTACAAAGTACTCATTGTGGCGCGCAGTACGGATCTAGTTTCGTTACCTTTTACAATAAAAAGTGGCAGGGATGGATCTAGGGGTGCAGGGGTTGNCGCTGAGATGAAGTCTTCTTCGTACTCGCTCAGGCCTGGTACTCGCTATTAAAATTGGTTTACTTCACATTCCTTAGTGGTGCACCCTCTCCTAAGAAAAATCCTGGATCCTCCCCTGAGTGGAGGTATGTACAAAGCGTTCGTCAGTCGTTGATTAACTGGCTGTTGTCGAGGGGTTAATTTGGCAGCTGGGACGCTGTTATAATGGCCGTTGCCGTCATGGAGAAGTGGCCGTTGTAAGGAGGTTAAAATAAAAAATGAATGTATGGACCGTCGCCGGGACAGAAAAAAGGGGCCGTTGTACCTTGCAAAGAGGTGAACGATAGTGGAGGTTAGAGTGTTGGCTCCAATTCTCTAATTGCAACATTAGAGTGGATTCCCCACTGATTCCGCAACCCCAAGGTACCAGCCATCCCGTACCCTCCTCTGAAATATAACAAGCTTCGCTCCTAATACTCAGCGGTATATACCAACTCGCGTCACGGTTTCACCAACCACCTTCGCGCGTGACATAACTACAAATAACTACTTTTCATGTCATGTGATTCATTGCTGTTCGTGTCTATTTAATAATGGAGATTCTTGCTGAAGAAAACATTAATCCAGCTTTCATAAGGGTCAACTACAGCCTGCGAGGATGGCTATTTCGCCGGGCAATTGAAATTAGACAAGAGCTCGCTCGCGTGAGTAATAATTCTAGTAATCATGACATTTTGGCTTTTTACACTTTGAATAACAAAGCATTATTGGTGGGAAAAGCGGAAGTTTCATTCCTGGACTTTATACAGCAATTGCAACAACAGTGCTCAATATACTTTTATTTCATATATCGAATTATTCTTGAATTTTGATTGGTTCTTACTTTGTATGATCAATGACCAATTCACTCTATGAGATGCACCTGCAGGGAATTATGGTAGTTGCATTCATCAAAATAAGCATCCAGTCCAAGATTATGAATACAACTACCATGATTCCCTGCAGGTGCATCTCATAGAGGGAATATGGCCATTGGATGACAGACACATAGCTGACATCACTGACATTGTTTTTGTTTCTATACTATTATTATATAAAACAAGTAGACTCCACATTGCTGTGTGTCTGTTCAGTAATTGATCACAGAAGATGTCAGAATGTGGTAAGAACATCATGAAACTCTCGGCTATCGCCTCATGTACCACTTTTTTTCTTTTTACTACATGTTGATATCATCTGTGATCATTTACTGGGAAGACACAATAAAATGGAATCTATTGTTAAACTAACGGGCTTTGTTGCAAGAGGGTTCCCAATAGGTTTGGCGGGATGTGGGA